GCATTCCTGGACGGAGGGGAGGGCCCCGCTGCTTCACCCCGTGTTTAGAAGGGCAGAGAGATGTTCTGAGGGTGAGACAGAACAGACGGGCTGCAGCAAGAGCCACAGTTCCTGAGAACAGGAGACAAGACATGTTGCCTTTCCAAAAAACCTACTGCCATCCTACAGGGTGGGGTTTGGGCCTGGTTTTGGTTTGTTTTGGGGTTTGTTTGGGGTTTGGGGTGGGGGTGGGGGGGGTGGAGTTGGTTTGTTTTCCCCCAGCTGGGAACCTGTATCCTTGTCAGCTCACGCAACTGGGAAAATGAGACCTACCATGAGTGCCATGCAGAAGAGTTGCCCTTCCCTAACTGTGGTAGTTGTGGTAAGGAGTCTTTTTAAACTGTTTTACAAGTGGTTCGGAGTGGTCGCAGCTCGCAGTAGCCCTCCTCTGAAAGGCACCAGGCTGCTACGGCTCAGGAAAACCACGTACGTGCTAAAGCAGAACACCAGTGCTATAACTTTTTAAGACTTGATGGCTCCAGCTCCATAGCATGGCAAAGTTATCAGGTAATTAATTTATTCAAGATTTACACTATGGTTTTTTTTCTTTAATTTCATTAACCCTATAGTAGTATTTCTTCCCTTGAGCTTTGTAACTTTGTAGAATCATAGAATCATAGAATCATAGAATGTTTTGGGTTGGAGGGGACCACTAGAGGTCATCGAGTCCAACCCCCCTGCAGTCAGCAGGGACACCGCCAACTAGATCAGGTTGCTCAGAGCCCCATCCAACCTGGCCTTGAATGTTTCCAGGGATGGGGCCTCCACTACCTCTCTGGGCAACCTGTTCCAGTGGTTTACCACCCTCATTGTAAAGAATTTTTTCCTTATATCTAGCCTAAACCTACCCCGATTTAGTTTAAAACCATTACCCCTTGTCCTAACGCAGCTGGCCCTACTAAAAAGGTTTTCCCCCTCTTTCCTATAGGCCCCCTTTAGGTACTGAAAGGCCGCAATCAGGTCTCCCCGCAGCCTTCTTTTCTCTAGACTGAACAAGCCCAACTCTCTCAGCCTGTCCTCCCTGCGCTTTTGCCTTCGCGGTTTTTGCCGCTTTTAGGAAAGGGTCCCCCGGCGCGATCCTCCGCTCCGGAGCCCTTCGCCTCGGTGTCTTCGCCGAAAAAACACAATACAGAAGAGGGTTACTTTGCTCATGGAAATGGGCCAAGTTGTGAAGCAGTACCCAAGACCTTTTCAGGCTTCACCACTCACGTATGTATGTTGCAGCTGTTGAGAATGGAGTTAAATCTCCTTGTTGCTGTGCAGGTGCTTGGTTTACAGTTTCATAAGCGGGGATGCAAAGAGCACTTGCTAACAGCTGCCAGATTTCCATCTGCATTGCAATTCAGACTGTGCTTGCACCGTAAGGAAGAATGGTTGTGTGT